CCAAGTTTTAAGGTTTTCCTTCGCTCCCCGGTTAGCATAGGAGTCAGGTTTTTTTTTGTGAATGATAGTGGAATGGTGCACCTGCCTGCGCTAATGGAATACACATATATATATATATATATATATATATATACTTTATTGCACTTATTATATTAATAGACAAAGACAGTTATACTAAATTGTGAGCAAGGGCGGGCTTATCTCAGCAAGAGATCTCTTCCATACATATGAATAACTTAAAAACAATTTCTCGTTAAGTCTACATTCAAATTCAAAACATCTTTATTCATGTAGGTCTATTACAGACTCTTATGATATTTCAAATCTACCGTCAGTACGGAGTGATTTCGAGAGGCGAAGAACTGACTAGAAACTCAGCTCGTATTCTTCTCAAATAAATATTGTACATGTTACAATAATTTATTTTTAAATTCAAAATTGCGAGAATAGAGTTACTACCAGCATATGCTATTGCAAAAGCAAATCTAATAAGTATTCCTAACCCGAACAGCCAGAGCCCACAAGCAACACCCATTCACGAGTATGATGGATGAGCCAGACATAATTGCAGTCGACCATACTAGAGGGAGCACATAGACCCGGCCCACCACGCCGCCACATCGTGGGTAGACTGATTTCAGCTATTTCAGCCGCCAAGCAGCTTGCTTTGTAAAACATTATTCTTACGTGTAAAACATATCGAAGTTTCCGTCTGCCGTCAGATTGTCTGCCATTTTCAAATATACATCTATACATATAAATAAAATTGGAGTGTCTGTTTGTAATATTGAAATAACCGTTTTTTACTGCATGCATATGAATATAAATACGATAAACAAACAAAAATTGTAAAAATAACATTTTTTACAATTTTTGTCTGTCTGTCTGTCAGTCTGTTTGTTCCGGCTAATCTCTTAAATGGCTGGACCGATTTTGACGGGCCTTTTTTGGCAGGTAGCTGATGTAATAAGGAGTAACTTATACTACTTTTATTTTAGAAAAATAAAATAAAATTCCACGCGGACGAAGTCGCGGGAACAGCTAGTGTATAATATAAGCAAAACACGTAGAGATCTTAGTTAAATAATTGAACGAATGACCAATCTAATTCCATACCATGGACTGCACGTCTGCTTTTAATCATGGCCTCTCGAAATTGTTTAACTTATTTTTAACCTCAACAGAAACGAATAAGTTTAAAAATGGAACGATATATTTTTATTTTGTCTATGTGCAAGCACTCGTCTGGTCTACAATGAGTTCGATATCTATGTATTCCTTTGCCTGATGTCTTTTCGCCAAAGTCCAATTAAAAAAAATGCTTATTTTGACAAGCGCGCGTAAATTACAACACAACATTTTTTGTAAAAAATGGACTGATATATTTTTTTTATGTTGTCTATGTTCAGGCACTAGTCTGGTCTATAATAAGTTTGATTTGTTATTTTATCTTTGTCTTTGTCTGATGTCTTTCCAATTCAAAAAAATGTTTATTATCTACTGGTTGTCTATGACAACTCAATATTTTTTGGAAAAATGCGATTTATTTTGTTGGATGAAGTCTTTTGAAAGCCCATAACAAAAATATCTATGTGTATTTATGACAAGGCGTGTCATTATAACGCTATAATTTATGTATGAGACTGTGAAATCACATTTTTTTTCGACTACCTAGACAATGGTTGTCTTTCCCTGAAAAAAAAAACAATATTTTTATTGACATTATAAAACTACAGATAGCATACCGGTTGCATAAATTCCTTCTGACACATTTATTTTCTTTCTGGCAATAGGATAGTGTTGCCACAATTTTAGTAGGTTATCCTGAAGGCTTCATAAACTAAAAAGCAATTCTGTATATACCTACAGAAACTAAACTTAATCTTAACTTCAATAAGGTATACAACCTTATTAAAGTCGATAAAGTTTGTCATAATATGCAAAAAAATACGACATAGCAACGCATCATATCTTTGTGTTTGGAAACTATTGTCTATCTAATGTATGTATTAATATATTTTATATTTATTATTATTTATAGATACTTATTTATCTTATATATAAAATTCTCGTGTCACAGTTTTCGTTCCCATACTCCTCCAAAACGGCTTGACTGATTCTCATGAAATTTTGTGAGCGTATTGAGTAGGTCTGAGAATCTGCCAACATCTATTTTTCATCCCCCTAAATGTTAGGGGTAGTCCACCCCGATTTTTTTTTTTATCTATTTTTCATCCCCCTAAATGTTAGGGGTAGTCCACGCTAAAAAAAAAATAGGCGTGGACTACCCCTAGGTAGTCCACGCCTATTTTTTTTTTTTTTATTTTAAGGCAAAACAACGTTTGCCGGGACAGCTAGTTATGTATATACTTTTATAATATAACCTCATTATAGGTACTAAGTGTTGCATGATATTTTTATTTCATTAAAATCAGCCGATCACCTAACATATCAATTCTGTGTAATGATATCCTCTGAACCACACAATACTTGCATGTCTAGTGTGTGGTTCGCCGTAATGTGTATTAAATGTAAAAGTGTTTTATTGGCCAATAAATTTTATTATTATTATTAAAAGTCGAATTAGGAACTCCTTTTTAAGTCGTATAACGTTGTCTATGGTGCAGTCTAAATTGTTTGTGCCAACGTCATGGAATTATTAAAAGTCGCATTAGGAACTCCTTTTTAAGTCGTATAACGTTGTCTATGGTGCAGTCTAAATTGTTTGTGCCAACGTCATGGAATTATTAAAAGTCGCATTAGGAACTCCTTTTTAAGTAGTATAACGTTGTCTATGGTGCAGTCTAAATTGTTTGTGGAAACGTCACGAAATTATTAAAAGTCATTATAAAACTACAGATAGCATACCGGTTGCATAAATATATATATATAGGATATGCCACAATTTTAATAGCATTAGGAACTCCTTTTTAAGTCGTATAACGTTGTCTATGGTGCAGTCTAAATTGTTTGTGCCAACGTCATGGAATTATTAAAAGTCGCATTAGGAACTCCTTTTTAAGTAGTATAACGTTGTCTATGGTGCAGTCTAAATTGTTTGTGGAAACGTCACGGATTCGTTTCTCGATACATCATCATACAAGGGGAAAACAGAACCAGAAAAAAACACTTTTTCATTGACATTACAAAACTATAGTACTTGTAGTTTGACCAAATGTGACGCTATTTTTTTTCTTTTTAGCAATAAGCTAGTGTTGCCATAGTGCTTATTTGTAGCTTATTCTGGAGGCATCATAAACAAAAAAGTAATTATGTATGTATGTATATATTATTCTTTGTTTATTTTATTTTATTTTTTGTCATATATTACTAGTATTAATATTATATAAACACTAAATTTTTATATGCACTCTGATCGCCGTACCAATGTAACGTTAACTGTCAAACCTGCTTTGATTTCCACGATACAGGCATTGCCTAGTGTGGGGTCATAGTTACAATGTTACTTAAGTTATATTTTATGAAATAAATGTTATTATTATTCTCGTTCTCGTTCTCGTTCTCGTTCTCGTTCTCGTTCTCGTTCTCGTTCTCGTTCTCGTTCTCGTTCTCGTTCTCGTTCTCGTTCTCGTTCTCGTTCTCGTTCTCGTTCTCGTTCTCGTTCTCATTCTTATTCTTATATATCTTGTTAGTAATTTTGTATTATTGAAGTCAATTGAGCTTCTCATACGGTTGGAAAAAATACTCTATGCTCGTGTTTCGAATATAAAGTTGAATTAAGAACTCCTTCTTAAGTCGTGTAACGTTGTCTATGGTCAGTCTGAATGCTTTGTGCAATCAACGTCTCGGATTCGGTTCTCGGTATTCCTAACCGCTTTTCAAAGGCTGTTTAAAAGAGATTCTACAGAGATAAGACCGTGATTGTACTATATTTTATTGGAGTGTGAAACTTAAATGATATAATGTTTCTTTTTTATTTTCACTTCATTTATCTATAATATATATATATACATATAAATAAAATTGGAATGTCTGTGTGTAATATTGAAATAACCGTTTTTTTACTACATGCATATGAATATAAATACGGTACATAAACGGTACTAAACTAAACATTTTTTACAATTTTTGTCTGTCTGTTTGTTCCGGCTAATCTCTGAAATGGCTGGACCGATTTTGAAGGAACTTTTTTGGTAGGTAGCTGATGTAATAAGGAGTAACTTAGGCTACTTTTATTTTAGAAAAATAAAGTTAATTTCCACGCGGACGAAATCGCGGGTATAGCTAGCATATATATATATATATATAATTGACGGCCTCGGTGGTCTAATGGTTTAGCACACCGCTTTAATTCCGATGGTCGCGGGTTCGATTCCTCACACGTCACAAACATTTGTATTCATGAGTATGATTGTTTGCATCGGTATTTAGGAAAAAAAGATATTTATGTATTTATCAGTTATTTAGTACCCATAACACAAGCTTTAGCTAGCTTAACTTTAGTCGTGATGGCGCTGTGTGAATTGTCCTGAGATTATTATTATTATCTATGTTTATTATTACCATAGATAAGATATATTATTTAGAGGTACACTTTGTACATAGGTAGACACTCCTGTGTACCTATTTCAGCCGACAAGCAGCGTATTATATCAAACGTGTTTAAGGGTGAGACAGGAAATTACGACATGATGAAATCTATATTCACAATCTTTAATTAAATTCATTGATTACAATGTAACTTTGTAATATAAACATCCATAACGCAAACAATAACAGTACCATAAATAAAATAGAGTATCTCTCTTAAAAAACAATGTCACATAATGTTTACACTATCAGAAAAGTTTGAAAATGTCGGTCAGAAAATGGCGCATTGCCAATATTGGCGGGAAATCATCGTGTTCAATTATATTAGTTTCGCAGAGCCGTTTGTCTTGTCAGGGAAAGATTTAGTGGCGGAGTAAACGTTCCACGTAAATAAACTTATAACTATATAATGTTTTCTATTATAAACGCTTTTTTTTATATTGTTACAGAATATGTCTTCTGGCCTTGGCGTATTCACTTCAAGAACCATACAAGGACAAGACTTACTAATATACAGTTATAATTGATAATAAAAAAAACATTTCAATTATTGTCTGTGGTTTCAAAATGTCGTCTGTCAAACACATGTATTAGAGTGTGGGAGAAAGTAACAGTGACATGTAACTGTTATTTTTAGAATGCTTTATTGAGTGAAAAGAAACTGTTATATTAAAGATGGCGACGCCGCCTGAATCTCCTGTAGAGGAGCATGCGTACGAATTGGAGCCGAGTCGAACGCCGAAACCTATTCCAGTCGCTTTAGAAGAATTATGTAGACAAACGAAATTCTCTAAGCAAGAAATTAGGGTTATGTACAGAGGATTCAAAACGGTAAGTATCTATGCATTTAACTATTTTATTATCTATGGCGTCGGTGGTCTAGCGGTTTAGGACACCGCTTTACATTCAATGGTTGCGGGTTCAATTCCTCGCACGGTACAAATATTTATTTTCAAGATTAAAGTTTTTTATATCAGTCTGGGTGTTTTCCATGTATATTATGTATTAGCTAGTCGCCCCGGCTTCGCACGGGTGTACATGTATTATAAACATAAACTTTCACTCACTCTATCTATTAAAAAAACCGCTTCAAAATCAGTTGCGTTGGGTAGTTTTAAAGATTTAAGCATACATAGGGACAGACAGCGACAGCGACTTTGTTTTATACTATGTAATAATGATAATGATGTTTTTACAAAGAAAATAATATCTATGTATTTATATCAGTTGTCTAGTACTCGATTACGCTGGCGAGATACCAGTAGAGTATGATAAAACGAGCATAAAGTCAGGTCAATCAGTCACCAAGTTGGTCAGCTCAACTTTAAGCATAAGGTCTGGTCGGTAAGCCCAACTTGTTAAATTGGAATTTACCACGATGGTGTCTAGGGGCAACCGCGTGGAGATCAAACTATTTCAGAGGAGTATCGTTACAAAGAGTGCAAATCTGATCTCTAAAATCGCTCCGCGATTCGAGCTCCGCTCAATAACATAACTTATACATCAAATGAAATGATATTTATTCAGTAGAAAACTAAAACACACATTAAACAAACAAAAAATAGAATAACAAATAGTGCGAACAATTACATACAAATAACAGTACACAAATTACGTATGTGCGCGTCAGAATAATACATCTTAATCTTAATAATATTATAAATGCCAAAATTTATGAGTATGGACGTTTGTTACTCTTTCACACAAAAACTACTGAACGTATTTTGATGAAACTCTACAGTAATATAGCTTATACATCAGAACAACGTATAGACTATAAATTTCATGCAGATGAAACCACAGGCACAGCTAGTAAGTTATATGTAACACAGGCCCGTAATTCTGGCGTAATTAATATACAATTATTAAAACGGCCGTTCGTTTGTTTGAAATTTCAGTCGTAGAAAAAAAGATGTTTCAATTTACATCCACCGCTGCTTGATGGATTAATAACGTTATTATATTACAAAATGTTTATGTAAACGTTAATCAAAGTTTCGCTGTTATTAAAACCGGTTATTATAAATAACAGCTGTTAAAACCGGTTGTTATTAATAACAACTGTTATTTTTAATCTATTCGCTAAGTATGTGGCAAATAAACGGTTAGGAATTCTAATTAAAATTACTAATATGATTATCTTATTAATATTATAAACGCGAAAGTTTGTGGATGGATGTTTGTTACTCTTTCACGCAAAAACTACTGAATGGATTTTGATGAAACAGTAATATAGCTTATACATCAGAATAACATATAGGTTATAATTTAAAAATATACAGGGTTACTGGTAACTCGACGTATTCCCGTCAGGACGAGATAGAGGAGATCAAATGCAATAATTTTGACAGATTGAATATTTTTTTAAAAAACAAAAAATTCAGGATAACTCGAAAAGTGGCTCCCAATCCGCCTTCCACATGATATGCACATCCTGACCATGCTCTATAACATCCTTAATAATCCCAATGCTCCTGCTTACCTTAAATCCCTCCTTTCAATTCATGCCCCCTCCTATTAGACCGAGACGTCTTTGCCAAAACCACTCCAAAATGTTAAACTTCCACTTGACAAGTTACAATTCTTAGGAAATTCCTTTTCATTTCGCGCTGCTCGGTTATGGAACAAACTACCAGTACAGATACAGGAAAGTCCATCAATTGGTTGTTTTAAGAAAAGGTTGAAATCACACTATTTATCGACCTTAGTATGATTAGTTTCATCATGTATTTTGTGTAATATATGTAGATATCTATAGTAATTGTATATATGTATGTATATATATATATAACTTTTATTAATGTTTATTTTATTTATTATTGTATATCTTATTATAATTACAATATAATTAGAACTTTATTTAATTAGTTGAATTTTAAATGTTTTATTTTTCTCAACTTTTGGACATTTCAACATAATAGTGTTAATTGCACAGGTGTTACCTACTCACTACTAGCTATGCCACATTGTTGGGTTGACTGGTAGAGATCTCTCTTAGAGATAAGTCCACGTTTGCTCACTTTGTATATGTTTAAGTTTACCACTGTATTTAAAAGTGCAATAAAGAATATACATATACAAAAACTATTAACTTTCGACCATACATATATAGGGTCAAAATCATTGCATTTGAGCTCCTCTAACTCGTCTTGACGGGAATACGTCGAGTTACCAGTAACTGTGCATGTAAATTAGACGAAATATAATAATATCAATGTTTTCGTAACGACCTCGGTGGTCTTGTGGTTTATATCAGTCTACTACTAATGGTCGCAGGTTCAAGCACGGTGCAATCATTTGTATTCATGACTATGCTTGTTTGTATTCGTCTGGGTGTTTTCTATGTATATTATGTATGTATTTACATAAAAAATGTATATTAACATATATATCAGTTGCCTAGTATACATAACACAAGTTTTGCGTGGCTTGGAACTAGATGGCGCTTTGTTTATAGTCCTAGATTATGTTTAATACGTGAAGCAAAAACTTTGTATCCATTTTTACTAAGCTAGTATGAAATTTCGCACACTTATAGTTTATATAGAGAAATATTGCAGAATGATTATATTTTTTTAAAATTATGCATTAAAAATACATTAAATCAATAAATTTTGACCCATACAAATGTATAATACAAAAAAAACATTACACACACTTCCAATATGGAAGACCTATTTTTTTTTACACAACAAACGAATATATTAATATATATTCTTTTGTTTAATATTACAATATATTATAACATAAAAAACTAAAAAATATAAAAATATCTTTGCTAATTCAAAGATCTTTTTATATATTTAATTGTTTATCATTTTATGGTAATTGCGTAAGATTTTACAACAAACTACCACAGTATGTTCTAAATCTGCCTGAAAATAGATTCAAATGTCGTATCTTTCTTTGTAACACTTTCTCTGTAAAAATGCTTTATAAAATTGTAGAGTTTGTAAATGATAAAAGTTTTTGTAGAAAAAACTTAAAATTCATAATATTGGCAATATTATCGCGGTTTCTATATATATAGATTATCGCATGCCTCTTACTTGGTACTGTGTATTTATTTGTTTAAAATAACATTTAGTCAAAAGAGCAACACACAAATTTTTGTGGCATTGGGCTCATTGGGATCCCTAAAATATGGTCGAGCGCAGTGATGGCTGGCTCATCCATCATACTCGTGAACGAGTGCTGCTTGTAGGGACTGGTCTGCACTTATCACTACGACTGATTTAATCTTATTGTATATTTATATTTGACCCAAAAATAGTGATGGTTGGTAGTTTGTATTCACACGTTTCGACTTGTAAATGTAAACTTACAAGGATTATTTAAAAGAGCAACACACAAGTTTCTTGCTCGTTCTTCTTGTGATGAGACAGCTTTCCGAACGAGTGGTAGATTAAATTACAAACAGACAAATTGTTATGGCTATTCAAAAGTGCTTAAATTAAGTTTATTTGAATAAATGATTTTCTATTCTATTCTTGCTCATTTATGAGTCTGCATTCCGAATGAGCGGTAGAATAAAAAAAACATGACTATTCAAAAGTGCTTGTATTGAGTTTATTTGCATTAAGATTATTTCTATATCTATTTTTATGGTCGAATTTCGACCACAAACTGGCAAAAGGCCATACAATTTTTAGTATTCTATTCGCAGTTGTAACATTAGAAAGGAAAGTTTACAATAACAACTTGCAGCATCCAGTTGTCGAAACCCTCGCGATGGGTATTGTGTTCTATGTACAGAGCTAGGGCTGCCTGACACATTTCAAAATATTTCTCTGTGGTACTGGTGAATATTTTATCTGTGGTTTATTACAATATTTAAATTTAGAACTCTCTGCTGTTCTTTTAATTCCAATATACCAAAAATAACAAAACTAGCCAATCTACTGAGATACTGCCTGACACATATCATGACGTTGCTCTGTGGAATTGTTGAATATTTTATCTGTGATATATTACAGTATTTAAATTTAGAACTCTCTGCTGTTCTCTTAATTCGAATATACTAAAAATAATAAAATTAGTGCCTATTCTATAATCTACAGAGGTAGGGCTGCCTGACACATTTCTTGACGTTGCTCTGTGGAATTGTTGAATATTTTATCTGTGATATATTACAGTATTTAAATTTCGAACTCTCTGCCGTTCTCTTAATTCGAATATACTAAAAATAATAAAATTAGTGCCTATTCTACAATCTATAGAAGTAGGGCTGCCTGGCAAATTTCTTGACGTTGCTCTGTGGAATTGTTGAATATTTTATCTGTGATTTATTACAGTATTTAAATTTAGAACTCTCTGCTGTTCCCTTAATTCGAATATACTAAAGATAATAAAACTGGTTCCTATTCGCCAATATACAGAGTTAGGGCTGCCTGACACATTTCTTGACGTTGCTCTGTGGAATTGTTGAATATTTTATCTGTGATATATTACAGTATTTAAATTTAGAACTCTCTGCTGTTCTCTTAATTCGAATATACTAAAAATAATAAAATTAGTGCCTATTCTACAATCTATAGAAGTAGGGCTGCCTGGCAAATTTCTTGACGTTGCTCTGTGGAATTGTTGAATATTTTATCTGTGGTTTATTACAAAATTTAATTTTAGAACTCTCTGCTGTTTATTCCCTTAATTCGAATATATTAAAAACTAGCTGCAACCGCGACTTCGTCCGCGTGCAATTTAAGTTTATTTTTCTAAAACAAAAGTAGCCTAAGTTACTCCTTATCAGCTACCTTCCAAAAACAGTCTCATCAAAATCGGTTCAGCCATTTCAGAGATTAGCCGGAACAAACAGACAGACAGACAGACAA